TGGGAATCTGAGGCAGGAGGATAGGAACTCAAGACCAGTGAAAGCAACATGGCAGGAGCTGCAGTCCTTTCCCACTGTTTTTTTTTTATTTTTTTTTATTTATTAAAGATTTCTGTCTCTTCCCCACCACCGCCTCCCATTTCCCTCCCCCTCCCCCAATCAAGTCCCCCACCCTCTGTCAGCCCAAAGAGCAATCAGGGTTCCCTGCCCTGTGGGAAGTCCAAGGACCCAAGTAATAATTGTCCAAACATTCAATCTCTCTTCCATTTTTCTTTGCAAACACTGGAGATTAAATGTTTTATTCTCCTTTTGAAACAAAGTCTCATTATATAGCCCACACTGACCTCATGCTCACAGTCCTACCACTACCAGGTTCACCTAATTCAGCTCTCACTGCCATTTCTGATATTGGGGATGGCCTCCATGTGCACTGAGAGTCAACCCTCTTTTTTACTTATTTTGAAACAGTCTCCCTAAGTTGACTAGGCTGGCATTGAACTCAACATTATAACCCTTGATGGCCTTGAATTTTCAGTCTTCTTATCCTACTTCCCAGTAGCTGGGATTACAGGACTGAGTCACCAGTCCTAGCTCTAATTTAATCTCTGGGTAATAACAACTACTCACTCGGAATGTGTCTAAACATGAGGATTAATGAATATGGTTTGTGATAGTGATATCATGTCTACAGGAGACTGTCCTCACTCTGGGGAAGAGTTACAACTTCCTTTGTTATTTTCTTAGCTAGAATATACTTGTTTATTACTATTAAAAATGTCAAATACACGCAAAAGAGTCGAACAACCCCATTACGGACTGTTGCAGTATGCCTCAAGTTTTCCTTCAACACATGCTTTAGTACAACACTAGTTCTCTCCCCTTCCACCTTTGCTATTTGCTATGTAGCTCAGGCTGGCCCCGAGCTGCACCTGCCTATCTTCCAGGTGTTCATCATCATACTCAGTCATATGAGATTTTAAGTCAATAGACGTGTTAAATACACTAATTAGTAAGTATACACATATTCTCTTTTTATTATTTTTTTAAACAAGTGTTTTCTAATCAAGTCAAATCCATGACTTGACAGAGGTTCTTGTGCGGAGGTAAGAAATGTAGCTTAGCAATACAGCACCTGACTAGCATTCACAAGGTTCTGAATTCCAAGGGTAGGAAAAGGAGATGTCAAAGAAACTCATCTGTGTGTGGTATCTATCACTGATTTATTCCTCCAATTAATTTTAAGATGAGTCTCCTGTCTCCACCTACTGACTCCCAGAATTTCAGGAATATATACTATAGTCAAGTGTACACAGAACTAGAAATCGAACCCAGGGCAAGCAACCTGTCAGCTGAACCTTATCCCCAGCTCCCACAGTTGTTATTCACTGAATACAATTTTAGATAACAATTGTGAATATTTTCAACAGTATTCACATTTAAGTAATATTTAAATAATAGTTTTATACTTTTATACTAACACTATAAGGTCAGAATATTCAAACATTTAGCAGATACTCCAACAGCTGGAATTACTTCTTCACTAAATTCTGTCACCAGTGCAATGTGCACAACCTTACAGCTGTATGGGAGGAACTCCTCACTAATTTGTTTGTTTGGATTTTCTGAGACAAGAGCTCATGTAGCCTAGATTTACCTGGAACTCAGGATGTCAATCAGGCTGGCTAGAACTCGGGATCCTCCTACTTCACCTCCAAAATATTCGCATTACAGGTGTTTACTACCATGCCTAGTTTTCCTTTTTTTTTTTTTTTTTTTTGACTCATTTGACACCATGAATTTTTTTTTGCTTGTTTTTCGAGACAGGGTTTCTGTATATAGCTTTGAAGCTTGTCCTGAAACTCACTCTGTAGACCAGGCTGGCCTCAAGCTCACAGAGATCCACCTGCCTCTGCCTCCCAAGCGCTGGGATTAAAAGAGTACGCTACCAGCACCCGGCTGACACCATCCATTTTCATTCTGTCCCTTAAATGGCAAATATAGAAAATAACATGGATATTGTCAAGCCAAAGTATAAATATCCCTTGATATTTCCAGCTACACCACACCGGCAGGGGAGTTTTCTGGTCATTTACCCTGGAGGGGTTCCAACTCGTGTTGGTATCTGTAAGCAGTCACACAGGACTGGTTCCTCCTGTAAGCAGAACTAGAACATTCATTCCCCCAGGGAAATTGAGTCCTACTTTGGACAGGGGAAATCTGAGACAGCCTAAAAACCACTCAAAGAGGATTTGACTGTTTAGGAACAACATTTCCTTTAACTAACACAGGTGAATTTTCTACCCTGCTTTGTTTCATTGTTGTGATTATTTTATAGGTAGGTATGAGTGTTTTGCCTGCATGCATATCTGTGCACCACTTGTATGCCTGGTGCCCGTCAAGTCCAGAAGAGGGCACTAGATTCTCCTGGAACTGGAGTTACAGACGGTTGTGAGCTGCCATGTGCTGCTAGAAATCGAACCCGGGTCCTCTGCAAGAGCAGCCAGGGTTCTCAACCACTGAGTCCCCTTGTCCATTTAGATAGGGTCTTGCTATATAGCCTTGACTGGCCTCAGACTTGCAGCAATCCTCCTGCCTGTCTCTGCCACTCAATTGCTGGGATAAGACTTGTGTACCACCGAAGAAAACGAGTGGAATTATTGTCAAGCCTGAGACTGACTCTCAAGGCTCTCTCCTGCACTGCACGAATATAATTACTCACTGCCTACCATGCTCTCTACCGCCTACTTCCTTCTCTTTCAACATGGTGAGTCCTACACCCTATCATCTCGCCTCAACTTAAAACTCACTTGTCTTGGAAATTAATATGATCCAAATACATTAAATGAATTAAAATGAATGCATTAAAATGTCAATGAAACTCATTATTTTGTACAATGAATATATTCAAGTAAAAAGGTATATGGAACCATTACCATGGGGGGAGTAAGAGAAGCACAGATGACTGAATGTGTGTAGGCATTTGCCACCAAACCCAAAGGTCTACAGTTCCCTGAGTTCAATTCCCAGACCCACAAAATGGAAGGAAAGAATGGACTCTGGTAGGTTGTCTTCTGACCTCCTCACACACACCACGGCACAAACATGCACTCATGTGGACAAAATAAAACATAGTTTAAGAACTTAAGTAAGAAGACTGGGGATGCAGCTCAGTGACAGAGCACTTACCAAGTCCAAGGTCCAGGGTTCAGCACCACCCTAAGGCTTTTGTCTCTGGTCCTCTCTCACACACAAATGTGTGCACACAGATGCACACACACGGATGTGCACGCACACATACACACACACACACACACACACACACACACACGCACGCACGCGCGCATACATTCACTCACTTTTAATTCTTTTATGTACTCTCATATACCAATAGGATGTATTAACTCAATAGACTATATTTTAACTTCCAAAACGCTGATCAATTTGTAAATCATTTATTCTGGGTTTTGAGAACAAGCTTAGGCTAGATTTCTTTCCCTACCCCCTCCCCTTTGTAGTGCTGAGGATGAAGCCCGAGGCCTCAAATATTCTAGGCAAGAGCTTTCCCACTTCACTCACTCAGCCAAAGCATCAATTAGTCTACCAAAAAAAAAAAATTAAAATGGAGAAAACGTTTTGCCTTTTTTGTTTGCTTTTCTGTTGTTCCCTCCCCGCCCCCCGAGACAGGGTTTCTCTGTAGCTTTGGAGCCTGTCCTGTTACTCACTCTGTAGATCAGGCTGGCCTGGAACTCAGGTCGGCCTTCCTCTGCCTCCCCAGTGGTGGGATTAAATGCACACGTGCAACACCACCAGCCAGCTAGAGAATTTTTTTAAACAAACAAAAATGTCTACAAAAACAAACCATCAAAATATACAGAGAAATAGGGGAAATACACATCTTCTGAAAAAGTTAGCATAATGAACATCACTGCTCTAGGTTCAAAGATTCTAAAAGCCATTTGAAATTTTCATTGTAAGAACCTTGAAGATGGGAACTGAATACATAAATGACTTATCGCTTATGAGCACGTACTGTTCTTCCAGAACCTGAGATCTGATTCCCAACACCACACCAGGTGTCTCACAACCTCCTGGAACTCCAGCTCCAAGGACCCACGCCTTTTCTGCCATGCTGGGACAGTGCACTCAAAGGCATAAACCCACATCCCATATATATATATATATAACTTAAAAAAAATAACTAAAACTTAAATATACTAAATAAACAAGAAAAATGCCTTAGAGAGGTATGGGTTTATAGCTCAGTGCCAGAGAGCTTACCCCACATACACAATGTCCTAGATTCACAAAAACAAAGAAACTTTGAAGAGATCTTAGATGCAAAAACACCCGATTTTATAACAATAAAGAATTCTGATTTCACACAAAGAAGATTTTATTGTTTTTAATTCTTATTGGTTGAGACATTAACTATTAAGGTCTTACTGGGTAGATATCTTCATTATTTTAGAAGATGCATTATCCATTCTTTCAAAGTATCATGCCCGAAATTCTCAACTTATTTCAAATAGTTCACCATAAAACGTTTTCTTTTTCCTTGAAAAAAGCCAATCAGTACTAACCTAACAAAGCCTCCATTTTTTAAAGTCTGCAAGGAGGCACAGGCCTACAGCGGTCAGACAATAGCTAACTATTTGGGCTGGGGTGTAGCTCAGCAGGAGCGAGCTTAGCATCATGAGGTCCCGAGTTCCACCTCCAGCATCAAATGAGAGTAACTTGGTAGTCTTACTTTTCTTTGACACAAAGAGACCCGTGTAGGGTCTATGTACGTCTATATTTACATACAGATAAATGCATCCTGCAAGTTACCTTTTTTTAAAATCAGAATGCAATGTGTCTCAGATAAACAGATGTCCCACAAAAGCGAAATTTTTGGATAAAACATTCCTTTCCACAAACACACACACACACACACCAAAAGAAAAAAAAAAGGCAAAAAAGAAAGAAAAAGAAAAAACGAGGAAAGGGTTGTCCTCACCCACCTTTCGGCCAAAGCTCGGCTGCAGCAGACAGAATCGCCCCGTCCGAGATCGGAAGATGCAGCGGCGGATCTGTGATGCCAATGGCGGAAAGTCTATTCTTTCTGGGGAGGGAAGGAGAGAAAACAATTCCACAAAGGTTACTTTGCACAGGCTTTAAAAGAAAGGTGGATGCAAACAGCTCAGGGCTGCGTCGTGATGCGCACTCGGGCCGCAGCACCTGGAAGGGCTGCAGAACCCGGAGGACACGCGGCCCCGCGAGCATAGCTCGGCCCACCTTCCCGCCCAGGCCTACCTAGTCTTCTCCCTCCCGGTGCCTGACCCCGCACCCGCTCACCGAATCCTCCTCGAGCTGAGAGGAGAGCACCCGGACAAGCGTCGAGAAGGTCTCGGAGCCCCGAGAAAAAGGGGGGGGGGGTAGTGAGTATGACGTCACTTCCGCTTCCGGCTCGGAGTTATCGGCCACGTTGGATCTCTTCAGGCCAGAGGGAAAAAAGCTTGTTTGTTCTCGCGTCTGGGCAGTCGCACCTTTCTTCGGGTGGGCTCGAAAGGGGAGTTGCGACGGAAAAAGAGCCGAAAAGTAGCCGTGTGAAGCGAGGACTCGAAGGGCGGGGCGAGGGGCGGGCCCAGGCCGGGTGTGCCGCGGTTGATGGCGGACCGGTGGGGCGAGGATGGGGGTGGGGACGCCCGATGGAGATGCTGCTGACAAAAGCTTTTCTGTCGGGCCTCTCCCTCACGCTCGCGGTGCCCTTAGCCATGTTGCATAATCTGCCAGCCCAGGAAAAATGATCTGTCTGGCCCATTCAGCCACTGCTGTTCCCAGACACCTTTCTGTCGGTCTGTCTTTGTGTGCCTGGACACCGTGCTTACACCCAGTCGTTGTTTCCGTTGAGTTTTCAGGATAAAAGTACACGCCCTCCCCCACCCCCACCCCCACCCCCATCCCGGGCTCAATTTGTGGAGCCCCTGCCTAACATGCCGGAAGCCCTGGAATTTATCTCCAGCACGGGGAGAAGGTGCACGTCTGTCATCCCAGTACTTGGAAGACAGAACGAGAGATTCAAAGCAATCCTCGCTGCATAGTAAATTCCAAGTCAGCCTAGGATACGTGCAACCCTGTCTCCAAAATCATAAGTGATCTTTTTGTAAATTCTGAGTCTTTTGAACTTTGTTTTTTTTTTTTTTCTTTTGAACTTTGTTTTTTTTTTTTTCCCCTCCATCCGACGTGGCTTGTTTTGACTCTGGGGCGTGGGGGGTGAAGGCGCGCGTGTGGGAGGCGGGAGGGGGGGAAGAGGGTAGGCGCACGTTCGCGGTGTGTGCGTTTGCAGTGTGTGTGTGTGTGTGTGTGTGTGTGTGTGTGTGTGTCCCATTGAGTCAGGGGAGTTTGTAGCCCAGGCCAGCCTCAAACGTCGTAGACTGCCAAGGGCTAACCCTTCTAAGACTCCGGCCTCCGGATTTATAGGGTATACGGGTATTAGTGTATGGTATTCAAGGAGTCTGCCAATAGAGCATCCGCCACTCCAAGTGTGAAGTTTTTTATTTCTTGGAATTTATCAAATGAACCAGTCTTTCCTACTTTACAAAGTGATGCTGGTAACATGCGTTCTAAAGTTGTGCCGCAAGGCTTTTTTTCTCTCGGTATCACAGGTGTTCACGAGGTGGCCCTCTGGAAAGTTACGAACACTGATTCACTGGCACGGGTTTTTTTTTTTTTTTTCAATAATTATTAATGAGGACTGAGAAGACAGTTTGGTGGCCAAGTACTTGCCCCAAACACTCAAGTCTTTAAGTTCACTCTCCACTACTGCACTTTTTTTTAGTTTCAAGTTTTTCGGGAGCTGAAGAGGCCTCACCCATTAAGAGCATTTGCTGCTCTTCCCAAGGACCAGAGTTCACTTCGTAGCACCTACTTGATATGTCTCAAATCGCCTGTAACTCCCGCTCCAGGGGTTTGGTATCATCTTCTGGTCTCTGCAGACACGCACTCATATGTACATACACACAAATAATAAAAAATAAATTTTAAAAAGATTTTCATAGACGTTTCTGCAATCCCAACACACTCCAGAGACTGCAGCAGGAGGATCAGGAGTTGTAGGCCAGTCCGGGATTCATAGTGCGTTCGAGACCAGCCTGAACACTGGATAGTATTTCTACACATACAAGCTGGTTGCACTAATTTGTATCACCAGCAACTCGAAGCACAATAAACGCCCCATTCCTTGAATGAATAAACCAATGAAAGAACACTGAGAAAAAGACTACTCTCGAATTCTGAGGAAGTGCCTCAAGGAAAGCTGTGTACTTGGAAACTGTTGTATTAAATTAGAGCTCTTGGAGGTCAGCCTAAGCTACATAGTGAATCCCTGTCTATAAATAAATAATAAAATTGTGTATGTGTGCTACAAATACAGCTCACAAACATGTTGGATTGGTAACTATTCTGCTGTCCCCGCCCATCTTTTTTGTATACAATAATCAGTTTGTAGGAGGAAATTTGTATTTGTAAAGAATATTTGGGTTCCTTGAAATTTTAGCTAACATGAGGGCCTAATATTTTTTCTGCTATTTAGTGGTGGTGTGCGTGTGTTACAGGAGGAGCAGGCATGTGCATGGCAATCTATAGCGGTCAACTTTCTCCAGTCCCTTCTCTTACCATTGGCTTCAGCTCTTTCACTCACTGAGACAGCTTGCTGGCCCAAATAGCTTACTTTTTTAGAGGCAATTTAGCAACTTGTATATTTTCTATTTTTGGAGTAGTTCAGAGTAAAACTAGGCCAAACATGGTGATACACACCTTTAGTCCAGCACTCTGGAGGCAAAGGCAGGTGGATCTCTGAGTTCAAGGCCAGCCTGGGATACTGAGTAAGATCCTGTTTCAAAACAAGACAAAAAGTAAAACTACTGTTTCTTATCTGGATCATAGCTTTCTTTTAATGTGTGTGTGTGGGGGGGGGGTATAAGTCATGGACCTAGAAAGGGAACCATGAATAGGGAGGATAAAGGTTTTAAAGAAATAGGAGTTGAGCTGGAGAGATGGCCCAGTGATGAAAAGCTCTTGTTTCTTTTCCAAAGGACCCTGGTTTAATTCCTAGTACACACGTGGTAGCCCTCAATTGTTTGTAACTCCAGCTAGCTCCAGGGGTACCTGACGCCCTCTTTTGTCCTCCAAGGGCATCAGACATGCATTTAATGCCCAGACATGCATGCAGGAAAAAACACCCATACATATACAAAAACAGCTTAAGAGGTAGAAATAGAGGCATTAAATTGGAAGGGGGTGGGAGGGTACACTTTGGGGAGGTGGGAATTGCAGAAAGAAGTGGATGACAGTCAATCAAAACAAAGTATGTATAAAATGAAACCTGACTTTGCTGACTAAAAAGTACATAAAAGGGGCTAGAGAGATGGCTCTGCAGTTAAGATTGTTTGCAGCTCTTCCCAAGGACATGAGTTTGAACCCAGGATCCATGTTGCGCAGCTCACGATCATCTCTAACTGCAGCTCCAGGGGATCTGATGCCCTCTTCTAGCATCTGCAGCCACCCCACAAATGCATGAATACACATAAATAAGAAACAAATCTTTTGGGTGAGTTCGAGACCAGCCTGGTCTACAGCGCTAGTTCCAGGACAGCCAGGGATACACAGAGAAACCCTGTCTCAAAAAAAATATTTAAAAAAAAAAAAAATCAATGATCACTTTTTGGTGGCAGTGTGCAGTATATTCCTGCCTGGCATTGGACTTTTTGTTATCCTATGCTATCTAGAAGGGGCATTGTCAACCCATCATAGGGTAATTCCATTAACATTTTCTTTACATATATGCTTTAGGAAGCTTCTGCTGTAGGTTTTCATAAGACTCTTTTAAAAGGTCTTCCGTGTTAGTTATCTCTCTTTTATTCCCTTCTCTACCTTGCCCTCCCGTGTTCCACCCTATTCAAACCTTTTCTGTTCCATTATTCTCCTTTTCCCCTTTATATGAATGCATTATGTCCTCCTTCCCTTGAGCCCCTCCTCTATAGCCCTTTACTTATTGTTTGACCTCATCGGGCATTACAAATGACACAAAGACATCTGTCACTAGAGAGGTCCCCTATGGGAGAACTACCACTATTGTCTGCTAAGTGGACATAGTGTTAATCCAAGTCCTAATGACTTACTGTTGTACAATAGACTTATACCTCCCTCAGCTCTCTTCAGAGAAGCTTCTTTTTGCAATAGATGACAGTTAAATGTTGAATTGTAAAAGTTCTTTACATACTATGCTTCAAGTACTCTCAAGCAAAGGTTCTATCGCTGAGCTACATCATCCTAAGCCCCATTTTCGCTTTGTTTTTAAAGACTGAGACTCATGTAACCCAGGATGGCGGATGGCCTTGAACTCCCGATCTTCCTCCTTCACTTCCAAAATATTGGGGTTACTGGCTTTTCATTTCTTGATGGAAAAGGGGAGCTTGTGGGGAAGGGACCCATGAGCAAGGAAAGAGGGAAGGAAGAATGCCCAGTGAGGTGATTCAGCAGGTAAGGATGTTTCCTGCTGGCCTCACACCCCAGTGGTCCCCAGAAAGGAAGAAGAGAGAAGACACCTCACGAAGTTACCCTCTGAATTCTACAGCTATGCTGAGTGGTACGTGCATGCCACGTTATCAGGCTTCCCTTATTTTTATTCATTTTTCCAGTGTTGGAGATTAGATATGAGGCAAGTATTTCATCCCTGAGCTTCAGCTCCCACAACCACCAGATTTTCCTGCAGAGGCACAAGTCTCAGAAGATCATAAATAAGCCAGCAGTAGATTCAGAAATAAAAGAAAAATATATGTTTGGTATTCATTTTGTTCCTTCATAAAAGCAATCCATGGAACATGTGAGGTGTGGATGTTATTGTGGGTAAGGGAACTTGCCTTGAAGCCTGATAACCTGAGTTTAATTCCTAGAACCCAAATAATAGAATGAGAAAATCAGCTCCCATAAATTTTCCTCTGACATGCACTCATACCCATCATGGTACATCCATCCATGCCCACACACATACAAACTATATATATATATATAGTTTGTATGTGTGTATATATATATATGAGGGCTACTGGAGAGATGGCTCAGCAGTTTAAAAACACTGACTGCTGTTCCAGAGGACAGAGGGTTCAATTTCTCACGCACTCACATGGTGGCTCACAGTTGTTAGAAGTAAAGATTCAAGGGCTCCAAAGCCCTCTTTTGGTTTACATGGGTACTGGGAACACACATGATGCACACAGACTTACATGTAGATGAAACACCCATATACTTAAAGTAAAATTTTGTTAAATATCTATTTAATATTATATACTTATATAGTATATGTAATATACTACATAATGTATTTGCTATATCATATACCTAATAATTGTATAGTATATTGTGTATTTAATATTCCATAATATATGATATATTTGATATTTATATATTGGCTAGGGAGATGGCTCCATTGTTTAA